ATTATCACTTGCTAATGAAAGCAACTTTTAACAAGACCTATAATCATGAGGAGGCTGTTTGCAGGATCTGTTGATATCATCACCTTTGAATCTCTGACTCCATTTTCGGTTAAATACACCCAGTAAAGTTCTGCTAGCACCCTTCAACATATTTTCTATGTCATTTACTGAAGAATTGCCAGCAGAAGAGCTAGTCTCACTTTTTTTTTTAATTTTATTAAAACAATACCCTAAATCACTTTCTCTGTGTAACTGACACTTTTCAGAAGCTAGAGTGCCAGGAGGAGAAACTTTGGAGTCAAATGGGCTTTTGTTATGACAGTTTGCTTTGGAAGGAAGGTTATTGATTTCTTCAAAGAAAATATTGCCCCAGGAGTCTAAATTAGATGGGTGGTTAGACCTGCATTTCACAGTTCCTTCCTTAGCCCATCCCTAACATGCTTAAAATTCTCTGCAGCAATTGTTTGTGCTAACAAAATACTCTAAAGAGCTCCTTTCTCAGGGTAGTTTGAGACAATGTGAAGGAGCCCAGGCATGCAGAAACTAGACTGTTTGTGGGGACCTATATCTCTGAGCTTAGAGATGCATTGTGCTCTGCAGCTCGTGTCCTCCTGGAGTCTCAAGAGATGATGGACTCAACAAATCCATCTGACACAGTATCTTCAGGAGCCTTCTCTTAAATGTTTGTTCACTGTTATTGAATCATTTCTTCCCCCTCCTCCAAAGCATTGTGGCATTAGTGAGGACAGCTTTACCGGCTACCCTGGATTGAAATTTCACTCCCACTTTTTAATTTCTTATATAAAAGCCTTTAGAAATTAGAATTTGTATGCAACTACACAGAAAAAAGTTGGCAAGAGGTTTGACTCAGATAATGAAAAGGCTATGTACCCTTCCTCGTTCCTGTTCATAGTCACTCTCCCACCATTTCTTCCAGTTGCTTATCTGCATACACTGAATAAATTCAGGGGACCAGACCAAAAGGCTACTTTGCAGGGCTTTTTTTTTTACTTTGTGACAATTACCTATTCTTCTGTAAAAATGCTGAAAAAATGTTATAAAAATATTGGAGTACAGAAAGGGATTTAACCTGCAAGAAGGAATTTCACAATTTCCCCAATATAACCTCCAATGAAGATATAGATACAATCTCTCTCTGTTTCCTAGTATTATGAACAAGTATAGAAACATGTACTAGATATGCCCCAAGTAGAAAGCATACATTTTCTTCTTTTTTTTTTTCATTAGCATGGCCTGAGAAATACCATCACAAAATTGTATATGATGTTCAGTGTTAAAAAAATTCTACTCTTAGCCATTTTTAGCTTCTGAGCTCATTATTCCTTCCCTTCTTTTACTTGTTTCTTTTCTGATCTTCCAGCTGTTTCTAACTCTTTCTGTAGAGACATTCCTGCTGAAATACTGTTTGTGTCTTTTATGCATGTATTCATTCAAAGTCTATTTCCAAGATGTTATCCATGACAAGACATAAAAAGAAGAGCACATGGTCAAGTGAGCTTAGAAAGAATGTGAGAGTCTGGTCAGCATACAAGTATCTTTCATCTCAAACCAGACCTATATTGTGTAAGGATGTTGTTTTAAAATGGTACATCCTTTACCTACAGCAGGAAATGTCTGTACCGCCTGCAGCTATAAGGGTGTACATGTGTGCATTAGGAGGTTATTCTTTTTCAATGGTACTGCTTATTTCATCTGGAGCACTGAGATACCAGGACGTGGACTCCTGAAGACCACTAGGAGTTCACAGCTGTACCTCATGTACCTTCTTCATGTAGATGATTTTCTGACTTAGATTTACAAATGTAAGTAATTTATTGGCCCTATCCCACAAGGATTCTCCTCTGTAGTGATAAGACAGCCTGCCAAAAGAGGAAATAAAGATCATTAGCCAAAGCAGAACATTGTGAACCTTAAGAATGTTTCACTTGAAGTGGAGGAATGAAGAGTTGGAATATTTCAGATGAAGACGGTCAAATCAAATAAATTAGAACATGTTAAACAGTAGACCAAGATGCATCAGAAGTTTTCTGGAAGTCACAATTTTTTTTATTTTCTATAATGCATGAAAGCCAATTGTGTGAAGACTCTTTTCCATAGTTTCATTTGTAGCAATATTTAGAGTTAAACAATAACTAGACCAAACTAAAATTAAAAGACCAATTTCCTTCTCCAAAAGCCCCAAACACAAGACACTTCCTCCTCATGTATTTGGGATACTTATGAAATTTAACATATAATAGTTTATGTTGCAGAATACCTTGAACATAACATGAACATCAAGCCCCAGAAAATGTGCAAAAATCTCCTAATACAAAATGCTTCCCCCAGTCATATAACATCATGAAGTGAAAGTTGTTTATTACAAAACCCCTGAACTTCCACAGAAATGAAACAAATCTTAAAAAAAAAAACAAAACCAACAAAAACCCAAATAAACACAAAACCACTAATGCTATTCTAATTCAAGAGAAATCAAAGTATTCTCATATACCTTTATCCCCAGGTACAAGCTGCAATTCTTAGAACATTTTCTAATGACCCAGTTGTCTATCATCCATCAGTAAAATAACTCCCAATCCCTGTAGTCATGGAGAAATGAGCTTGCATGTGTAAGAACAGCTCCTTCCCTGCTGAAAAACCTACAGTAAAACCAGCACTTTCACACCACTACAACTGATCTGCTTCAGGTAGTAAAGAAACCCAAGGACAGATGTTCTGTTTTCTTTCTTGCTTCTTTTTGGTCTGCTTTTTGAAAATGTAAACTTTCTTTGATCCAGCACAGGACTTTTTCAATTCAAAATCTCATAGATTTCTGACCTACTTCCCAAAACCCTTGACACACCAAGGCAAACAGAAGGCTGAAAAGCTATTTTTTCCCTTTCTCGCTTACATGAACACCTTCATTAAATGATTTCTTTTAATGATTCTTTTAAATGATTCATTTAATGATTTCTTCATTAAAAAGGTGTTGAACAGTGAGTGTACATTCTTGCTTTTCTGTGTGTTATTTGTGACTGGTAGGGAAAGCATAGACATTTGTAGGCTCTCAGGGGAATACAGCAGTTATCCATTGCTTCTTCAGAAACTATGCCCAGAGAAATATAGGATCAAAAATGCAAAGGTGAAGAGAGAGACAAATGAAGCTTGAGAGCTTTGGGGAAGAAAAGTGATAGAGCTGATGATAGGTATGATCTTCTAATGAGTGACATGCTCTGTGCAGCTGTTTTAAGAATTTAAAAAGAATTTAAAAACAGTATCAGCACCACAACAGTAAGCACTTTATCAAGAGTTTATATCAAGGACTTCACAGTAAAATGGCTCATATTAATCTCAACCAATCTCAATCCATGCCATTGCAATTGAAATATAGTACAATCTAACTGTCCTCTTCTTGGGTTCAGTGGCATTAGACACAAACTGATATGGTTGTGCACCACTAATACACTACACTGTACAACTGGGCCACATGTACCGAACAGCAAAGCCTAAATAGCACAAGGTCTTAATAACTATACTTACTTAGAAGAGTATCTCAAAAAGAAGGTTCAAACAAGCAGCCTGTTTATTACTTTGTTCAGCACAATTTTATATGTACTCAGTTGTCAGTTGTTTCCTGTATATGGTTTCCTCAGCTTCGTAATTGCTATAACTCATCAATAAAAGTAAAGTAAAACACAATTGTCTGTTATGTAATCTAGGTGATGCAGCACGTGTCTGAAGACAAACTATTTGCATAGTGTAGTCAAACAGGTTCAGATAAAGGTATTTAGTAATATATCTATGGTTAATCAAGTAAAAGCCAAGATGCAAATACTGCTGGAAAATTATGTACAATATCACTCCAACTTGTAACACACTACTCTTTAAAATGCTG